CGGTGCGTGGCCCGGAGCCTAAGGGCGCGGCGTGGGGAGGCCGAGGGGCGGGGGCACCGAGCCATCCGGAGGCCCCGGGGCCGCCCGGGCTCTGCGGGGAAGTCCGGGGAAGGGCCAGGGCGTGCGGAAGACAGGCAGCCGGGGCAGGCGACCCGAGCGCGGACGCGCAGGGGGGATCGGGGCGCACAGGGACCGGGAGGGAGCGGGTGTGGGACGCCCCGTGCCCCACCCCGGCGGGCGCCTCGCGGGCCGGGTCCCCCGGTGGCCGCGTCGAGGCGGGCGGGGACGTTCGGAGGAGGCAGCTCCGAACCGGGGCTCGGGGTCTGCTTCGGGCCCACCTGGGGAACTCGGGGCTCGAGGGGGATGGAGGTACCGCTCTGGGCGGGCGCGAGAGACCGAGAAAAGGTCGCCGCGAAGGGAGCATCTCTCTCAGGGTGTCCAGGGGCGACGGTGACCCGCGTCCCCGAGGGAGAATGCGCAGAGGGCCGCAGGGACCGGTCCCTGCAGGCGCCGAGGCGGGGCCGGCCGCCTTTTCGAGCGCTCGGATCTGTCTCCAACACGGTTTGCTAACAGTGAGCCGAGATTCTCTTCAGTGCACCCCTGTTGTAAAAAACCAACAACCTGAAAAGTCTATCTCTTTTAGATAAACAAGGGGAAAGAAAGAAAAGTCTGTTTTATAATACTGTACCCAGTGATTTCAGGATAAATAATAGCTGTGCGGAGTGTTTTACCTAAAACTTAACAGTATGCAAAGCCTGCATCCATCTCTGCGCCCAGCGCACAAGGACAGAGAGTTGAGGTCTCGGGGAGTGAAAAGCGCCTCACGGAGGCAGGGGGTATATGGGAAATCTCTCTACCTTCTGCTCAGAAGGACCTGTGTTTGCTTTAATGCGCTGCTGTTGCCCTCTTGAAATTCGTAATTTTTAGAGGGGCCGGGCAAATTATGTAGCCTGTCCTGCTTATATTATTTTGCACTCCCTCCTCACACATGCATCTTTTAAAGTTTGCTTAGCATATTAAAGTAATTTATTATATTAAAAGTCATAACGTAATTTTGCACCTAAAAATGAGCCTTTTACTTCGCATTTATCTTTGTGAAGCTTGTGTTCATAGTGAGCTTGAGACCCCCAACGTCGTGGTTTCACGTATTACACAATTATTTGAATTTTTATGTATTATTATTATAATTATTTGAAAGTATTAAATGTTTCCCATATTTTATGCCTTTAAAGAGACCTTTTAAAATTCTACACAGTCTGAACAAGGCCTTGAGAAATAGGAGGCTAATTTACCTTGTAGCTCTGTTGTAACCTCAAATTGCATCCCATATAATTAAAATGAAATTTTAGTAATTATTTTTTTGTGTTAAATGTGTCAGATAATATTATTTAAAAGACGTCTCAGCAAAACAGGAAGTTCTTGTGTACAGGACTCTCCTCAATAGCAAGTTCCTGAAAGGTGTGTTTTAATATAGTCAAATCTAACTTTAAATACACCGAGAGCTTGTTATTTAAAGGAATGCTCTGGGAAGGAGCTCTTTTCTTAAGCAAATATCACCTTATGGTTTATCCATTCTGTTAGTCTAGGTTTCCGCCGCTCATTTTACTTAAAGCAATCTAATTTTGCTGACCTTTGTCTAGAATGTGGGGTTGATGAGGTCCTGGATCAATCCTCATCAAGTCCAGTGTGCTTTGGTTGGTCCCTGGAGGAGGACCCGCCACATGGCTGCTGCTGATTGATGGAAACACACACCTTCAGTCTTAAGGAGGAATGCTGAGAAAGTTCTGGTGAATCAATGCAAGGTCATCGTCCTTGTTTGGGTATTCTAAAAGTATTTTTTTGATGAGTGATTTAATAGTGTGATCTTTGATTATGGCAAAGAGCACTTTTTAGATTTGAAAGGCCTCTGAATTTCCATCACATGATGGCAACGTGGAAGTGAACTTCATAAATGACCAACAATATACTATTTTGATGCCTGAAATTATTAACTCCAATTTTTGAAGAAGCTAATGCAAAAAGAGAAACTGAAAGTTACGTACAGTCTGATTTACTTTTGTACTGGAATTGATCTTAAATTATTATGTTCAAGTTACCCCCAAGGAACATCTGCTGCAAAGAAAAGAATGAAAGATCATGTTTAAGATCATCCAGTTCTAGAACTCTATAACTCAGATTTCCTTGACTTGAGGAGCCCGGTGGCATCAGATTGGATTGTAGCAATGGACACGGTCTGGAAGCAGACGCCAGGAAGATTTGTGTGGCACTGACTTTATGGAGTTATCTACACTGGTCACACATAATTATCCTATATCACGTATTTAGTATAACCAACTTATTAAACAAATAGTTTCGATGGAAGATTTGGCCCTGGCTATTGGTGTCTAGTTTTGAAATGAGTACTAAACTCCCCAAAATAGAGTAGACTAGATATTAATTCAACCCTTATGATTCTACATCTGGACCTAGCGCAATTTTACTACATGGCTCATTGGGGATGTGGTGAGGGGAAGCCTCTGATTCTAGACTATTTAACTGTGTTCATATAAATATTGTTCTATTTGATGAAGCCATGATTTCTGCCCAAGCTTCCAGAGAGCAGAAAGAAAAGTTGTTTTCTTTCCCCCAACTGCAAGTTTTGCTTTTGCCATTTGAATCTGTGTCATTCCGGCGCAAAGCCCAGTTATAATTTGCCTGGGCCAATTATCAAAGCCAGTTTTTATTCTCTCAACACATCCCAACAGTTGGAGGTAGGAGGTGAGTGGCATGGGTAAATTATCCTGAAATTGAACATTTGCTGTAGATAAGCTAGAATTAGCTAGTTCAATTCTGCCAAGAGTTATCGTTCTCACTTTTAACGACTTATCTAATAGTATTTTTAAAGGGACCACACAGATGCTTCAAAATGTTGTGCTGTAAAGAGGAATGGGGACGGTATCTGCATACTGACATGGAATGATCTGCAGAAAATTTTAGTAAATGAAAAAATCAAGGTGCCAAATTGCTAAATGGTATGTAATTTGGGGGGTAAAATGGGAAAAAATATGAATATGGTTCTGTGTGCACGTGTTTGCTTACCTTTCTGAAAAGACACACTGGACATATAAACCAAAAATTAATCAAATATTTATCTAGGGGGAAGAAAGAGAACACGGTGGACTAGGGATGGAAGAAGGGCTTCTCTGAATGTCCCTTGTTATCTAATTTTGTCTTTGGAAACATTCATGTTTTACATGTTGAAAGCATAAAGTTAAATCGAAAGAAAACAATTATACACAGCAGACTGTCTGTAAAAATGTGTGACTGAAAAAAATGTGTATTTTTTTCCTGTTTATTCCTCTTTTATTCTGAGAAAAGGATTTGAGGCAGCTTTAATCAGAGCACAGATATATGCCTTATGCACTTTTATAAATTTTGATTTTTCTATAATTGCTAGACAATAAAATATCAGGGGATCCTCTTGCCAGATCAATTGTGTAACCTGATGGCATTGTATATTGGTAACTTTTAACTCACTCCTACATCTGAAAAGTGACCTAAAAAACAAAAGTAAGTTTTGGGATGGATCTACTCATGCCACTCAAAAATACCACCACCACCTGGCTTGCAGGATTCTAGAAGTAATGTACTTTATATAGGTGAGCATTTGATGGTTTGCTGACCTATATTTGGCTCATTATAGTGAGCACATGTAATTTATCCTGGCTCTGCAAACCTTAGGTCTGGCAATTCTTAATGAATCGAATGGAATGAGAGATGTAACTGAGATTAAAATGTAGCTACTTTTCTTTCCCCTTTTTCCTCTCTTTCTTCAACTTCTGCTTTTGCTTGTTTTATTTAAATGACCAGAATAACATAAAATGCCTGTAATTGAAAATATTTAATAAAGCTTAAATTTTTATTATTGCTACCTATTCAAGATCTTTTTTTTAAAGCTCTTTTATTTATTTATTTAATTTTATTTTCTATTTTTTCCTGAGGAAGATTCACCCTGAGCTAATATCTGCTGCCAATCTTCCTCTTTTTGTATGTGAGCCGCCACCACAGCATGGCCACTGACAGATGAGTGGTGTAGGTCTGTGCCCGGGAACTGAACCTAGGCCATCGGCGTGGAGTACGCCAAACTTAACCACTAGACCATGGGGCTGGCCCTAAAGCCCTTTTAAAATATCATGTCCTTCACAAAGATTTCAGGTATAATTCTAGTTCACTTTGACATTTTCTCTTCCATTTTATATTTTGGCAATCAGAGTCAGGGCTGCATTAGTCTCTGTTTCTAGGATATAAGTCTGATATCTACCACAAAATATTAAATTTCCTGAGGTTGGGAACTATTTAAAATACTATTACATCTCCTTTCACCCCTACTTCTCACCTCCACTCGCAGGACAATAATAGACACTAAATACAGTCGTGTGTCGATTAACGATGGGGATACGTTCTGAGAAATGCATTGTTAGGTGATTTTTTAGTTGTGTGAACATCAGAGAATGTACTAGCACAAACCTAGATGGTATACTACTACACACCTGGGCTACATGGCATTAACCCTATGGGACCACCATTGTGCTCCGTCGTTGACCGAGACGTCATTACATGGCGTGTGACTATGATGTGTTTTGAATTGAGTTTTCCATAAGGTTTTTATGTTTAATCTCCAAGTTTA